TTATGTATAAATAATTTTTTTAATTAAATAATTAATTTTTATTATTAAATAAATTAAATTAATTTATAAACAAATATTTTTAGGTATTATAATTAATTATTTTAAAAAATTATAAATTAATAATCAAACTGCGTAGCATAACCACGTTCGCCAAACCCTCCCTCATTGGTAGGTAACATGATTAAAATGGTACCCACGTGCAAAATTGAATCTGCTTTTGTTTTCCTTTCGATCAAACTTCAATACGTAGAATGAATAAGAAGTCCTAAATTTTGGGACGACACCTTAAAAAGTACATCAAATTAAGATAATACAAAACACGTGCTTTTGCTGTTTATGAATAAATAAGAGAGTACTAATTTACTTGAAGGAGATGGTTGTAAGGAGACACAAGTAAATCATTTTTTTTTCTTTTGTTTTAGAAGATATGTTAATTAATTGAAACTTTAATGAAGAAGAAGGTTAAAGAGAATAATGGGAGTTTAAATTTTAATTATATAGATGAAAAGATATTTATTAATAATTTAATTAGATATTTTATAAGCTATTATCATAATTTAAACTTGATAATAGGGTTCAGCATAGGAAATTTCAATGATTACTGTACAATTTCCACCCAATTACTCCATGACTAAATTAGTTACATTTTCTTCATTTGTAGTTGACCATTAATGAATCTATTCATTTTAAAAAGCTTGGTATTTGTTATTTATTTGAGTGCAATAACTGATTATAAATTAAATTAAAATGAAGTGAGGGGCGTCTTCTATTAATGCATTCCAACAATGGTTAGGCATAATGATCTGCAATTCATAATGCTTTTTACCCAAGAAAACAAATAATTATGATCTACAAGGAATTAATATTAGTAAAGTCAAAAACTTTGGCTAGACAAGAATCATGAAAGAGTGAAACATCTCAAGACCGAAGCAAATCTTTAAATTATTGTTTAGGGTAATTAGAGATAACTTTTCTTTTTCTATAAACAAAAGAGGCAATATCAAGTTTTTGGAAAAACCAGGCCTTAATAAAAAAAGAAACAATTTACCTGTAAATAATATCAAAATTATTAAAAAAGAAGAAGAAGAAGAAGGAATCAACTACACTAGCCTTTAAGATGAGTTCAATTGGGAGAGAGAGAGGGAGGGCTTCGCCGGAATTAAGTTCAATAAGGTCAAAATCTTTGGCCAGACAAGTATCATGAGGAGAAAAAGAGGGATCAAATGTTGTAATAAACATGCAAGTTGCCTCCTTTTGAATCATGGCTGTCCAATCTTAATACCAAATTCAACCAAATTAAAACAGGTGGTTAGGTTTTCAGACAGAACATAGGTTAGATTTTGAGCTAGAAAAAGCTTTTCCCTATAACAGAAAAGTTTGCTCCTTTTGGTCTCCCTCAACGTTTGGTTAATTTCAAGTAAACCCCCATTTCATTAATTTGGATTTTTTTCTTAATTATGGGACCTTGGAGGGATATGACTGAGATTTGGTGAGGTAGAAGGGGACAGAATAGACATCCCCCGGAAATACAGGGAAGGGTCGTACAGGAACTCTCAACTTTATATCCCTTTTGATCAGCTGTGATGATTTTATATTGGAATTTAATCTGCAAATGCTGCATAACATAAATTAAAGTAAAAAAAGGGTGAAATCCCATTAAATTCTCCCCCCTCTTAGTTTCCTCTCTCTCTCTCTCTCTCTCTTTATCTGTCGTACACTCAGCAGTCACAGTGATTGCAGCTGCAGTAGCGGCAGGACTGCTGCCTGCTCAGCTTGCAGTCAAGAAAACAACGTTAAGTTGCAATTTTCTCCTTAACCCATCATTCATAATAAAAAAACTTGTACTCGGGCATTTGTAATTTTTCACTTGGGTACACTGTGTATTAATTTTTAATTTTGGTGTGGGGGGTTTGGTTTTTTTTTGGGTAGAAGTGTGGGGGGTTTGGTTAAGGTTCATAAAAGCTTGATTTGATATCCAAATTACTAAAATACACTAGCAAGGGAGGAAAAGAAAAAAGGATGTTTCTTTTTTGGAGTATTGACTGTCTTCTCCTTTTAGCAATGCCAAAGGTGCACCTACACTTGCCTCACCAGCTCTGAAAAATGCAGTCATGAAATACCCTCCCTTTCTCTCCAACTCTTTTGCTACTTCTCCAAGAGAGCACTTGTTTAGAGCTTCCTAAAACCAATTCTCTGTAGATAATTTTTTTCTTGGGTTCTCAATGGGTGGTTTGATTGATCTGAATACCACGGAGGATGATGAAACGCCGTCTTCTGAGTCTTTGTCTCCATCTTCGTCTTCTGCTTCTGTGCCAAGCGCTTCTGGGGTAAGTCCTGGTGGTTCTGGTTCCGTGTGTTTGGAACTGTGGCACGCCTGTGCAGGGCCTCTTATATCGCTGCCAAAGAGAGGGACTCTAGTGGTCTACTTCCCTCAGGGCCACCTAGAACATGTCTCCGATTTCCCGGGGGCTACAGTCTATGATCTCCCTTCCCATGTGTTTTGCCGGGTTGTAGATATCAAGCTCCATGTAAGCACATTAACGCGCAAGCCTATACCTATATCTATCTTTTATAGCTTATGGATTTTGTTGTTTTAATTCTTGAGGATAAATGGGTTTGTTGGGTTTTCGACTTTTGGGAAATTTGGATTTTGTAGCTCAATTTACGGCGTCGAAGAAGTTTCTTGGATTTGAGGAACTTGTGAGTTTGAGGTTTTTTTTTTTTTTTTGTAAATAAATTCTAATTGCTGGCTATGTTTGTTGGAACTTTGAATTTTCAGTTTTGTTTGGATTTTTTTTTTTTCATCTGACTTCTTTTAAATTGCTAAGAAAAAGGGATTTGAAGTTCATAGCTTTGTCTCTGTTTCCCGAGCCCCTGGAGAACTGTTGTACAATTCTACCAAGAAAATGTGAATGGCTGGGTTAAGTTGAGTTACTGAGTGGTCTGGTGTGTTTGTTTTTGTGAATTTGTAGTGAAAATGTGTGATTTTCTTTGGCAGGCAGAGGTGGCAACTGATGAGGTCTATGCTCAGGTCTCTCTGGTTCCTGAGAGTGAGGTGGGCTTTTCTTCTGGTTTCTTGATTTCTTTTGCTTGCTCATAGAGGAAAGAAACCTAACGAATTCTCACATAGTTGTTTTGCAGTCTGAAAACCATAAGAGAACCTTCGGAGTCTCTAGTCATTATTTTTTTCCTTTGAACAGCTTCAGAGTCCCTAGTCTAGTTAAACCAGTTGACTTAGCTTGTGTTTGATTGTCTGGAGCAAAAAAAAAAAAAAAAAAAAGGGGGGGAAAAAAAAAAAAGAGAAGAGAAAGACAATGTTGAAGATGTTTATTGTTCCCTTTTCTCTGAATCCTTATATTTCTTCAGAATGAAAATGGATGGCTGAAACTTCAAATTAGCACTTTATCCAAGATTAATTTAAATCTGTTGGTTTGGGGGTATTGTAGTTCCTAACTTCTCCCTCTGATTTCATTGGTTCTTAATCGGTAACTTCTTATTCATGTCTTGAGACTGATTTTGTCCAAATTGCTGTGTGTAGCAAATTGAGCAAAAGTTGCGGGAGGGGCAAATAGAGGCAGATGGAGAAGAGGACGTTGAGGCAGAAACCAAGTCTACCACACCCCATATGTTCTGCAAGACTCTTACTGCTTCTGATACCAGCACTCATGGTGGCTTCTCTGTCCCTCGTAGAGCTGCTGAAGACTGCTTTCCTCCCCTGGTAATACTGCTGCGATGTCTCCCAAAATGTAGTCTTGTCTTATCTAATTGAGATTTTCACTTGTCATTTCCATGCATTATATAACTGGTCTAATCCATATTAGTTAAAGTAAAACACAATTTTGTGCGGAATATTGAGTTTAACTGTTACTGTAGGATTACAATCAACAAAGGCCCTCTCAAGAGCTTGTAGCAAAGGATCTGCATGGCCTGGAGTGGAGGTTTCGACATATCTACAGGGGTTTGTTTCAAGTAGCTCATGCATCTTAATATTACACTTTAATTGGAAGCATATGATACTGCAGAAGTGGAGCCTATGGATCAGGACTTTGATCAGAAGTGCATTTCCATATGATGTTATATTTTTTGTATTGAACAGGGCAACCACGGAGGCATTTGCTTACCACTGGATGGAGTGCGTTTGTAAATAAGAAAAAGCTAGTCTCTGGAGATGCTGTGCTGTTTCTTAGGTTATATAGCTATTCTCATTTAAGAGTCTTAGTTAGATCCTTGAGAATGGAACTATTCATTGATAAGAACCTTATTTCATGTTGTCAGGGGTGATGATGGAGAACTGAGACTGGGAATCCGAAGAGCCGCTCAAGTAAAGAATTCTGCCCCGTTTCCTGCAATGTGTCCCCAGCCTTTGAACCACAGTAATTTTGCAGATGTAGTTCATGCCATATCCATGAAAGGGGTTTTCAGCATTTGCTACAATCCAAGGTGTGGTGCAAATTGTTTTCTTCTAGATATACAAGAATCACAGTGGTGTAAAATATTGCATATTCCCATAGCGTACCATCATGAAGCATATTGCAGCAGAAGTGAAGTCCCATTTACCAGATCCCGTATTTAGAAGCAATTTAGAATCAACTTTGGTGCATGCGTATGTGATGACACAGTATACACTGAATATGAATACTACTTAAATCTAATCAGATGGTCAAACTTCATGCTGAACTTCATCTAAATAAACTTTTGGTTCTTTTGGCTCTACATATTTCTTGTGACAAATGCATTCCTTTGCTTTTGTACATTTGTTTTCCTGAAGTTTCCTCATTATAATTTACTTGTATATCTGTTATTCCTATTATGTGTTATCATAGTATCCTGAATGCATTAGTTTCCATGCTTTACAACTGATTTCTTAGCATGTAATGCCAACATTGTTTTTGTAGGGCCAGTTCCTCAGAGTTCATATTACCAGTGCATAAATTCCTGAAGAGCCTTGAGCATTCATTTTCTGTTGGAACGAGGTTCAAAATGCGTTTTGAAACTGAAGACGCAGCAGAGCGAAGGTTTGGCATGCTCAGTTTTGTAACTCTTGAGCTACATTATACATTCTATTTGTCAAAAGAAGGTCCCCCAAACTATGTTATCTGAACCTTGATTAAATTTTTTTTGGGCAGATACACAGGGCTGGTAACTGGAATAAGTGACAGGGATCCTGTTAGATGGCCTGGCTCAAAATGGAAATGCCTTGTGGTATATATTTTTTCTAGAGTTTGGTCACATATTTGTGCATGCAGTTTGCATGGAGAATGATTTTCAAAATTCTTTTATCATGATAAGACTTATTCTAAAGGCTGGCTTAGGACTGGAGAACAATGTTTCATAGATATCTTTCGGCCCTTTTTATATCTGATTATTTGGTGACAACCTTTCAAATAACCAAGTCATTCTTTAGATGTGCTCCTTTTCTGCTAATATATTGCAACCTGTTAGGTTTCGGATGTTCTGCTATGTTGCTTGGTGAAGATTGAAACCACAAATCAGTAGCAGTTGCAGTTGTGACTTTTTTGAAATCATTTTACTTCTGCAGCCCATTTGTTTGTAAAATTTTGGTGTTTATTGCTCTTTTCTGCAGCTCATTGAAGGTTGAAACTGTAGATGTGGTAGGACATGGCCATAAGGGACCATTGTTCATGAGTAATGAACTAGTTTTACTGATTTCTTCTTCTATATAGAATGTCTATGTCCTTCGGGTTTCATGTTATCGAAGTGAGAACATTTTAGTCTAGAAATTTGTGTATACGTATTTATCATGCCTAGCCTAATGAAAATCAATATGGTGAATGATTGCATTGATTATTATTTTCATACCTTGTTCGGGCAGAAAACAGTTTTCATTGTGGCAAGAGATCATTAGAAGTTATAATACTTTGAAAGATTTGTTGATTTTATGCACTTGAGTTTCATTCAATTGTTTTGTTTTGATGGTTTGGGTTCTTCATAAATTCTTTTAACATGTCATGATGTCTTACTCTTGATATTTGATATTACAAGATATACCGAGTGCTGATGTTAATGGTTGTTTCTGGTTCTTTTTTGCAGGTACGGTGGGATGATATTGAGGTCAACAGGCAGAGCAGGGTTTCTCCCTGGGAGATTGAGCCATCTGGTTCAATTTGCAGTTCTGATAGTTTGCTCACAACCAGTGCAAAAAGGAGCAGGGTTGGATTGCCTTCTGGAAAGCCAGAATTTGCATTCCCTGGTCGGTTCTTCTTTACAACCATCTTCTTTTCCACTTCCATGCAATGTTATTTTACTAATTTTTTTTATTCTTCTGCTGATAAAAGGAAGCTGTTTTATATTTATGACAGATGGGATTGGAGCCTCTGACTTTGGGGAATCTATGAGGTTCCAGAAGGTCTTGCAAGGTCAAGAAATTGTAGGTTTTAATACTCGTTATGATGGCCCTGGGTGTCAGAATATGAATCTATATGAAATGAGGCAGTGTTTTCCTGGTTCAAACAGTTCTGGGATTGCTGCAATAGGGAGTATCAGAGACCCACTTGTGAGTGCTGACATTCCCTCAAAAAGCACAGGCTTTAGTGAGTCTTTCAGATTCCATAAGGTCTTGCAAGGTCAAGAAATATTTCCAAGTACTCCATATGGAAGAGCCGCAACTACTAATGAGGCTCATCAAAATGGTGGTCAGGTGTCAGGTACTAGAAATGGATGGTCTCCGTCTTTCATGATACAGGGCTATAACCCTCGGACACAAACGTCTGTGTCCTCTACACAAGTGTCCTCACCATCTTCAGTGTTAATGTTCCAGCAAGCAAGCAATCCAATTCTGAACCTAAATCCTCAATGTAACTTCAATAATCGAGAGAAGCATATGTCTAATAATCGGCAGGGTTATTTTTCCACTCCTGAAACATGTGGAGGAAAGCAGATGCTGTCTACACGTCTAGATCATGGTTTAAGCATAGGAAGTCATGGAGGCATGAATTCTTTTGGTCATACAGACCAACATATTCAAGTTGACAATTCACACTGTCTTGCATCTCAATCAGCATGTAGGACTAGTCAAGATTTAGCTTCATCATGTAAAAGTAGCTGCAGACTTTTTGGTTTCTCCTTGATTGAGGGAAGGCACGACACAAATAAAGAGGACAACATAGTTCAAGCTACTTCAGCATTGGGACCTGTTGTTCCTTATCTGCCTCGTGTTGCAGAGCAGTATCATCCCAAGGCTACAGCAGTGGCTGACCCTGTTGTAAGTACCAAAGTAAGCAACCTCTATGCCGTATGAAACATGCATTTTGATATTGTAGTGTAGTAGTGAGATAGAAAGTGCTGATTTGGAATCAAGGGGGTCTTCTGGATGAGGTTTACTTGGATGGAGTGATCATGCAGGTCTAGTTTCCCTGTCGCTGATTATCATGAAGGATGATTCTGTATTCCGGTTTTTCAACCCGCTGCAGTCAACCTTGATAAACTGTTAACATTGTTTTACAGGGAATCCTGCAACATTGTCTCAAAAACTATGATATATACTGATGAAGATGATTTAGATGTGAGGCAAGAAGATGCCAGTAATAGCTCTGATTGTATTAATTTGAAATGATTGAGACAATGGCATTTTGAACCACTAAAAACCGAAATCTGCAATTATATTTGCTGCACTGACTTGATTCCATAAACTCCCTTTGCTATGCTTACTTGGTAAATTCAACTTGTATTAATGTGTGTGATTGACTCCTTGGTTTGAATACCTTGCATTGCATACAGTGATGTTTTACCAATCAATTCAAAGTGGATGCGTTACATTCTTTGGTTTAATTAATGAATGGATGGTCCTCCCGACGGGGGACCAACCCGGCGGCTAGGGGAACCATCACCCTTAATGCTATGGTTGACATGCGATGTCTTGTGTCCCAAGCTGGAAGGATACCGGAGAAAATAGGGAAGAAATTATGTATAGGGACTCGAGAACTTGATACCTTCGTTACGTTTGAAACATTTGCATCAGGCCTTACTTATGAACTCTGGAGAACTTGAAGTACCTTTGTTTTTAAGGTTTAAAATGACGTTTGGAACGTATGTATTAGGCTTTATCTGCGAGCTCTGGATGGTCTGGTCTCATAAATAAATTTTGTGAAGTTGACTGGTCTATAGATTCTTTAGTTTGCGGCTGGGAATTCTTGAGTTGATCTTGTCATAAACAAAGACTTGAACAATTCGACTACACCTTTTCAATTATATTGGAATTGGGAAATTGTCCATTTTTCCAGTTTGTCCTCGTGAATCGTTTTCTCTGGTCTCCTTGCTTCATCTTAATTATTAATCAAAAGTTTCTACAGAAAATTTCAAGATTGAAACCTCAAAATTTATTGCATAATTGGAACTGATTGCAATTAGACTTAGTTTAGGAATGATGGCTTATAACTGTAATTGTTGATATTTTT